TGGCATCATGTAATATTTGTCCTTTTGTGACTGGGATATTTCACTCAGCATAATGTTCTCCAGAGTCAACCATTTTGAATAATATTGCATTTCTTCTTCTCAGGATCTTTTTTCTCATTTCCTACTGACACAGTTGGTCAAAAGTGCTCTAAGTGCAAACTATATGTGTTGTCTTTTTTTAATGAATTGTCTTTTTTTAGAACTGTTTTTCAATACACACTGCAAAATGTTAACTTCCAGAATTATTTGTTAGAGCAGAATTGCATTTTTGTTATATTTGTTTATTTTTGGTTTTTCCTAGATTGTTGTTGTTGTTAGTGCCATGTAGTCATTTGCAACTCATAGCAACCCTAAGTACAAGAGCCCTAAACGCCATTCTATCCTGTGCCAACCTCGCTATCTCAAACACGTTCATTCCCACCGCTCCACTCACAGAATCGATCCATCCCATTGAGGTCTTCCTCTCATGCGCTGTCCCTCCACTCTCCCAAACATGATGTCCCTCTCCGAGGACCATTCCCTCCTAGCAACATGCCCAAAGTATGTCAAATGAAGCTTCAGAATCCTTGACTCCAGGGAACATCCTGGCTTCCCTCTCTCCAGGACAAACCTGTTTGTTCTCCTAGCAGTCCATGGTATGTTCAACACTCTTCTCCAGCACCACAGCTCAAAGGCATCAATTCTCTTTCTATCATTCCTATTCACTATCCAACCCTTCAATGCATAGCATATAATTATAAAGACTACAGCCTGGATCAGACGCACCTTAGTCTCCAGCCTGACGTCATTGCACTTCAGTACTCTTGAGAGGTCCCTCACAGGTAACTTACCCAATACAATTCATCTCCTGATTTTTGGCTGCTGTTACCAAGAGTGTTGATTGTGGAACCAAGTAAACTAAAACTGTTAACTATCTCTATCTCTTCACCATCCATACTGATGCTGCCAATTGGACCAGTGGTGAGAATCTTTGTTTTCTTGATATTGAGCTTCAATCCATATCGAAGACTGCAGTCCTTGACCCTCTGAAGCAAGCGCTTCAGGCCCTCCTCAGTTTCAGCAAGCAGGGTTGTGTCATCTGCATAACGCAGGTTGCTGATGATTCTTCCACCAATCCTGATGCCACATTTCTCCTTGTGCAGCCCAGCGTCTCAGATGATCTGTTCTATATACAGATTGAAAAGGTATGGAGATAAAATACATCCCTGACGGACCCCCTTCTTGATTTTAAACCATGTAGTGTCTCCTTGCTCTATTCTGACGACTGCCTCTTGGTCCAAGTATAGGTTTCGCATTGTTGTTGTTATGTGCCATCGAGTTGTTTGCGACTCATAGCGACCTTATGTACAAGAGCCCTAAACGCTGTTCTATCCTGTGCCAACCTCGCTATCTCAAACACATTCATTCCCACCACTCCACTCAGAGAATCGATCCATCTCATCGAGGGTCTTCCTCTCCTGTGCCGTCCCTCCACTTTCCCAAACATGATGTCTCTCTCCAAGGTCCAGTCCCTCCTTGCAACATTCCCAAAGTATGTCAGATGAAGCTTAAGAATCCTTGACTCCAGGTAATATTCTGGCTTCACCCTCTCCAGGACAAACCTGTTTGTTCTCCTAGCAATCCATGGTATATTTAACACTCTTCTCCAGCACCACAACTCAAAGGCATCAATTCTCTTTCTATCATCTTTATTCACTGTCCAAACTCTCCGACACATAGCACGTAATTGCAAAGACTATAGCCTGGATCAGGAGCACCTTAGTCTCCAGTCTGACATCATTGCTCCTCAGTAC